CCCCCCCCCCCTCCATTTTGAGGGGCCCAAGCGGCCACAGGCTAGATATCCCCCCTGGGAGCCCCAAGATGCTTCAGGAAACCTCAGGTGGAGTTCAGGAGGCCACAGGAGGCCCAGGAGGAAGCTCCAGGAGGTCCCCAGGAGGCCCCAGGAGGCACCAGGAGGCCGCAGGACGCCCAGGACAGGCCCCAGGGGTATCCAGGAGATTCCCAGGAGGCTTCCAGGAGGCCCCAGGAGGCCGCCTATCAGAACGTGTCAAGTTAATACACATCCGGTGTCGATTCGTTGATTTTTCCTGCTCTTGTGCACCCCCCCCCCTCCATTTGGAGAGGCTCAAACGGCCACAGGTTAGACATCCCACCTGGGAGCCCCAAGAGGCTTCAGGAAGCCCCAGGTGGAGTTCACGAGGCCACAGGAGGCCCAGGAGGAAGCCCCAGGAGGTCACCAGGAGGTCCCAGGAGGCACCAGGAGGCCCCCGCAACTCGGAGCTCTGAGACGCCGCGCTCGAGGTGGTCCGGCCCGTTTCGCCTGAGACTTCCTCGCACAACGTTTCGCCAGAGACATCGTCGCAACTCTGGGGTCCGAGATGCCGCGCGCGAGGTGGTCCAGCCCGTTACGCTGGAGACATCCTCGCAACTCTAGGCTCCGAGATACCGTTCGGGATGAAGAGGAGGTGGAGGAGGAGCTGGAGGAGGAGGAGGAGGAGGAGAAGTAGAAGGAGATGGAAGGGAGAAGGAGGAGGCGGATGATGTGCATGAGGGAGCAAGCAGGAGGAGGGGGAGGAGGAGGAGGAGGAGGAGGAGGAGGGAGAAGGAAGGGAGTTGCAGGAGAGGACCTAACGGGAAGCGAGTGCGATGTGGACTTGTCAAAACGTGTGCGAAAGATTGTCCGGCCCGTGTCGTTTGAGACATCCTTCCAATACTGAGCTCCAAGATGTCGCTCGCGAGGTGGTCCGGCCCGTTTCGATTGAGCCATCCTCGCAATGCGAGGCTCGAAGATGTTGCGCGCGAGATGGTCTGGCCCATTCTGCCTGAGACGTTTCGTAGCACAGGAGCTCAAATCACAACCTCTCTCATTCCTTCTCCCGCCTCCCTCTTCCCACTTCCCGCCTGGTTCCTCTTCCCTCCTCCCTCCTCCCGCCTCCCGCCTCCCGCTGCTGCGCCTCTGCCTCAGCCTCCCCGCCCCCGCCGTCGTCGTTTCTGCCGCCTCAGCATCCGTCATGCGCGCACTGCCTTCCGCCCTCCCCAGACATCCGACGTCACGATTTTTCCCCACACAGCTTGCTGAACGGGGTGCTGTTGTGATAGAAACTAACTCCGGCCGAGGGAACGCGGAGCAGAGACATCCTCACACAAATGTTATAGTTTTGGCCGTTTCGCTTGAGACATCCTCACAACTCTCGTTTCTGAGTTGGCCGGGATTGGCCGTTTCGCCTGAGACATCCTCGAAAAGTTGCGCTCCAGGGCGCCGCGCGAGAGGTGGTCTGGGCCGTTTCGCCTGAGACATCCTCGAAACTCTGAGCTCTGCGATGCCTTGCGCGAGGTGGTCCGGCCCGTTTCGCCTGAGACATCCTCGAAACTCTGCTTCGGAGATGCCGCGCGAGAGGTGGTCCGGCCCGTTTCGCCTGAGACATCCTCGAACTTCTGAGCTCTGAGATGCCCTGCGCGAGGTGGTCCGGCCCGTCTCGCCTGAGACATCCTTGCAACTCTGAGCTCTGAGATGCCGTGCGCAAGGTGGTCCGGCCTGTTTCGCACAAGACATTCTCGCAACTCTGAGCTCTCAGATGCTGCGCAAGAGGTGGTCCAGCCTGGGGGCCCAGAAGACCACATGTTACATATCCTCCATGGGACCCTGCGAGCCTCAGGAGGCCCCAGAGAGGTCCAGGAGGCCGCAGGACGCCCAGGACAGGCCCCAGGGGCCCCCAGGAGATTCCCAGGAGGCTCCCAGGAGGCCCCAGGAGGCCCTCTATCAGAACGTGTCAAGTTAATAAACATCCGGTGTCGATTCGTTGATTTTTCCTGCTCTTGTGCCCCCCCCTCCATTTTGAGGGGCCCAAGCGGCCACAGGTTAGATATCCCCCCTGGGAGCCCCAAGATGCTTCAGGAAACCTCAGGTGGAGTTCAGGAGGCCACAGGAGGCCCAGGAGGAAGCTCCAGGAGGTCCCCAGGAGGCCCCAGGAGGCACCAGGAGGCCGCAGGACGCCCAGGACAGGCCCCAGGGGTCTCCAGGAGATTCCCAGGAGGCTCCCAGGAGGCACCAGGAGGCCGCCTATCAGAACGTGTCAAAAAAATACACATCCGGTGCCGATTCGTTGATTTTTCCTGCTCTTGTGCCCCCCCTCCATTTGGAGAGGCCCAAACGGCCACAGGTTAGATATCCCCCCTGGGAGCCCCAAGAGGCTTCAGGAAACCCCAGGTGGAGTTCAGGAGGCCACAGGAGCCCAGGAGGAAGCTCCAGGAGGTCCCCAGGAGGCCCCAGGAGGCACCAGGAGGCCCCCGCAACTCGGAGCTCTGAGACGCCGCGCTCGAGGTGGTCCGGCCCGTTTCGCCTGAGACTTCCTCGCACCACGTTTCGCCCGAGACATCGTCGCAACTCTGGGGTCCGAGATGCCGCGCGCGAGGTGGTCCAGCCCGTTACGCTGGAGACATCCTCGCAACTCTAGGCTCCGAGATGCCCTTCGGGATGAAGAGGAGGTGGAGGAGGAGGAGGAGGAGGAGGAGGAGGAGGAGGAGGAGATGGAAGGGAGAAGGAGGAGGCGGATGATGTGCATGAGGGAGCAGCCAGGAGGAGGGGGAGGCCCCAGAGAGCTTCAGGAGGCCGCAGGACGCCCAGGACAGGCCCCAAGGGGTCCGCAGGAGATTCCCAGGAGGCTCCCAGGAGGCCCCAGGAGGCCCTCTATCAGAACGTGTCAAGTTAATACACATCCGGTGTCGATTCGTTGATTTTTCCTGCTCTTGTGGCCCCCCTGCATTTTGAGGGGCCCAAGCGGCCACAGGTTAGATATCCCCCCTGGGAGCCCCAAGACGCTTCAGGAAACCCCAGGTGGAGTTCAGGAGGCCACAGGAGGCCCAGGAGGAAGCCCCAGGAGGTCACCAGGAGGCCCCAGGAGGCACCAGGAGGCCCCCGCAACTCGGAGCTCTGAGACGCCGCGCTCGAGGTGGTCCGCCCCGTTTCGCCTGGGACGTCCTCGCACCACGTTTCGCCCGAGACATCGTCGCAACTCTGGGGTCTGAAATGCCGCGCGCGAGGCGGTCCAGCCCGTTACGCTGGAGACAACCTCGCAACTCTGGGCTCCGAGATGCCTTTCGGGATGAAGAGGAGGTGGACGAGGAGGAGGAGGAGGAGGAGGAGGAGGAGGAGGAGGAGGAGGAGGCATGTTTTAGCATGCCATGCCAGCCCGCACTGGACGGGCACGCAATCGACCTTGGAAACCGCAGTGGGTCTAAAAACCCTGTTTGGGGATACTGCACTCCGGCTATAATTCCATATTTTCCGGTCAGAGGCCGCCCGGTAGATGGCCTCCTCTAAAGGGGCCCTGGGACACACAAATAAATACACACAAATGAAACGAGTCCCCATATTTTCCCCTAGTGTCTGGGTTTCTGCCTTCCCCCCCCCCACTTCCTCCACTCCGGCCATAATTCCTCCTCTTCCTCCCCCTCCTCCTCCTCCTCCTCCTCCTCCTCCTCCTCCTCCTCCTTTCTGGGGAATCGAAGATTACTTGTGTCTGTGTGCTTCCTTCCCTCCTGATCCCTTGAGGCCGGCCAGACGTGTCGCGGTGCTGCGCCTCCATATGGGGCGCAGGTTTATCGAACGAGGCGGGCTGGCAGACATCGGGCGTCTCGAAAACATCGAGACGGAGGTTTTCATAGTCTTTGGCCCCTTGGGGCCCTCGCCGGGCCTCGGGACCGTCAACAAAACGACTCGGGATGAAAAACTGGTCCCAGGGAAGTGGTCGGGAGGTCGGGGGCCCGCGTCTCGAAAAAATCGAGACGTCGGATGTCTGGGCTGGCAGGCGCCCCCGAAGCGCAGGTGGAAGAGGCAGACGGGCAAGGGCCACTCCTCCACGAGCCCGACGAAGCCGAGCCTCTGCACGATCCCCACGCTGACGCCCCGCAGGTCGGGCGGCGTCGCCTTCGTCGCCCCGCACATGCTCCCGGTCAGCAGGCGCGCGGTGCACTCGTCCACGCACGCGGTGTACTCGTTGAGTCGCTGCGCCTGCGCCGGCAGGGGCTCGCGCCACAGCTCCGCCGGGCAGCCGCCGTCGTTGCCCGTGCAGCTGTATTTCCGCTGCATGGGGAAGCAGTCGTGGAAGCTGTGGAAGTCCGCCACGGTGGCTTGTGCACAGTGGGGCGTGGAGGCATGCCAAGGGCTGTCTCGTAGGGTTCCTGTATTCTAAGTATGGGCCCCCCCACCAGCATCTTCGTGCATGCACCGCCCTCCTTCCCAAAGCCACGCTCCCTCGCAAAAAAACAATGGAGCCGCGCCCTCGAAGCCACGACCCTTCGTTACAAATGAAGGGTATGCGCCCCGAACTTCCAAGACGTCCCATAAAGGCAACCAGGGACACCAAGATGGCCCACGATGCATCGAAGACGGCCCAAGACAGCCCAAAGGCGGCCGAATATGGCTCCACGACGGCCGAAAATGCCTCCAAGAGGGCCCAAACGGGCCACAAGGGGACCTCCAGCATGGTCCGAAGATGTCAAAATCATGGACCCCCGTTGGGACTTCAAAGGTTTTCGAATTCTCGCATTTTCGGGCTTCCGTCGATTCAAGACGGCCCAAGAAGCCTTCACGATGACCCCGAAACGGCCCAAGAAGCCCCCAAGAGGTTCCAAAGTGAGCCCAGAAGGCCAAACAGAAGAAACATATACTCAAGGTGACCACGCGGGGCTGGTAGGGGCCGGAGGGACAGCAGGCTGGTAGGGCTGGCAGGGCCGGCAGGGCTGGCGGGGCCGTATAGGGCCGGCAGGGCCGCGGGAGGACTGGCGGGGCTG